GAGAGAGAGAGAGAGAGAGAGAGAGAGAGGAAGAAGAAGAACAAGGAGGAGGGAGAGGGAGGGAGGGACAGGGACAGAGACAGAGACAGAGACAGAGAGATTTATCACAAGGTAACATGCAAAGCCCATCTGTGTTTCTCCATGGGAGCTGCCCAGGCATTTTTTCATGTTATTGAGAATGGCACAAGCAGGAGATGTCAGAGCACGTGGCCCTTGTCATTTGAAGACTCAGGCTTCCAAGACCCTGTGCAGATCTTTCCACTCCACCTCCTAAACTGTGCAAGGGTCACACTGACCATGCCCCTGACCCCCAAGTGAGGACAGGCAGTGCACCAGCTTACGTTAGGGTACTCAGGGTCAAAAGATATACCATTAGTTCCCAGAAATTGCTAGAGTATTGACTTTTCTTGGATTTAGAAGGAAAGGAAAGTTATAAGAAGAAAAAAAGCAAATTATACAAATGTTAATCTCTCAGTCAAGGCAGAAGAAAAAACTTCATTATTCTGTAGTCTTCTAATTTATCATGAAACATAAATTGCCCCCAACATCTACCACACTGTAATTATCTCCCAAATCTATGTTTCCTCAATCATAATAACATCTGTATTATTGGGCATAGTGGCTTAGGAGATGGAGGTGAGATGATCTCTGGGCATTTGAGGCCAGCCTGGGCTACACAAAGAGTCCAAGGTCAGCCTGGAATACTTAGTGACACCCTGTCTCCAAAGCAAACCAAAGCACCAGTATGCACTGTATGTGGTACCAGGGATCAAACTCATGTCCTTGCACTTGCCAGGCAGGCGCTTAGACTGCTGAGCTATCTCCCCAGCCCTATTAATAAGTATTTTATTTAATCCACTATCCCAAAAGATGATCAATGACATGTTATGTGACTTTCATTGCACACTAAGTCATTGAAATCCAGTGCATGTTTTACACTTACAGCATGTCTCAGTGCATACTGGCTACACCACCAATTTCAGGAGTCCTGTGAGATCAGTGGCTATTTCACTGAGCAGCACAACTCCAGAGATAAATATTAATAACTGACGAGTAGTATTAGAAAGAACAGTCTGGACAGGTTGGAAAACTTAAATTATTTTGAGAAAGGTGAGAAGAAGACTAGACAGTTTTTGTGAGGTGCATTTCCTTCTATGGGAAAACTATAATTATCTTCTAAGCAATGAGTCAACATAAGAATTGTCCATTAGTAAAAGTAGTGTCATATTACATGAAATTATATGACTGGACTTTAATGTCTCACTTCTCCCGTTGGTAATTTTGAAGAGTGTTTTGTTTGGGGCAGTGAGGTTAGCTAAATACCACAGATACCAAATATCTGCACTATTTCATTTTATAAAGTATCTAACTGGCAACTGGAAGGACGAGCTGGTCCCTGTGGGTTTAAGTACAGGGCCTGATCCTGGAACCTTTCATGTTGCTATTTGAGATTTGCCAATGAAGCAGTCTCCTGTGTGCCTAAGTCTCTTATGTTTTCACGATGTTGTCATCTCTATCAGCCAGACAGAAATTACCCTAAAATTGTTTTTTATTCCTTTTTTAATCTCATCTCTCTGACCCTCAATTAGCTGTCTAACTTGAAGTGAACGTAAGTAAAGAAATGATAAGAAAGAAATGAGTCTCTCTATTGTGTTCCTGGTCACTAGTCCTGATGATGAATATAGTGGTGAGAGTTATATAACCTGTTAAGGACAGTTTTGTGGGGGGGGGGTGCACGGTCTCATTACGCAGCTCAGACTCAGTGATCCTCCTGATTTCTGCCTCCCCAGCACTGGGATTACAGGCATGCGCCACCATGCCCAGACTCCATTGTCAGCTCAGCAAGCCCAGGGGTGGGGCCGGCACAGCATGCGGTGCCATAGATCTAACCCTGCCCCCTGTGCTTGCCTAAGTAAGCACTTAGTGCCCTGAGCTATCTCGCTGGCCCTAAGGACAGTTTTCTACACCAGAGAGAAAACTGAGTCTTGCCTAGTGAGGAAATCAGAGCTTGCCCTGGAGACCAGCGAATCCAGATCTATGGAGGCATGCTGTTTGATCTAGACTCTTCCAGATGTCTTGGCCTTTTGGACTGAAAATATCTAGCCTATGTTCAATGTCACACATAGCCTCATTGGACCCTTGAGACCTTAAAGAATCCTCATATTCTTTCCATTCTCCACAGTGAAATCAACCTCAAGCTCAGTTAGGGTGGATGCTGGGGCCAGAAAGCCTGCTTCCATCTGTTTCTATCTTCAAATACCAAGCCTTTCTTAACCCCGGTCCCAAAAGTGGGCAAGTGCCCCCTGCTGCCAGCAGAGCTGAAGACATGGCTACTTCTTGGATATTTTTTTTTCCACATTCAAATTGGATCAAGCTTTTTAGGTCAAATGCATTTTAACTACTAACCAACGCATGTTTCATAGGCCATAAAGTTGTTATAGAGCAAACAAGGAATATTGCAAATGCATTCAATGTTTGCATCAAGCTCAAACCATGTGGTAGTGGTTATGTGGAGGAATCACTCATTTCCTACATACTTTTTACAGTTCCTTCTTCTTGACCCAGAATGAGCCCTTTTATTGGCTATTCATAATTTTAATATTTACCATGAATAGAATCTCAACAATATTGACTCGATGGATTCTTTGTATTCTAAGAGTACTGTGGGCTGGGGAGATAGCTCAGCAGTCTGAGTGCCTGCCTGGCAAGCACTAGGACTAAGGTTCAATCCCTAGTACCACATGCCCTGCCAGTCCTAGAACCCCAGGCACGTTGTGCTGGCCACCAAAACCTGGTGTGGTGATGCATACCTATAATCCTAGCACAGGGCAGGCTGAGACAAGAGGATCACCAAGGAGGATCATGATGGCCCAAGCTGCATAGTGAGACCCTGTACCAAATGCATAAATAAATAAAAAAGATTTTAAAAAAATGAATAAATAAAAATACTGGTAGCAGGTGTCTAATCTTTATTATAGTCAAACATATTCACATTTCTACTGAAAACTGATCACTAATCTATGTTCTTATTACTGTATTTCTCATATTATAACCTTTCAAGCATGTTTCAGTCTTTCATTTTCCAAAAGAAGAAAAAAAACATGAAAATGGACATTGTTAGTAAGGTAACCTGCCAGTATGAAGCCCATTTCATCATTAACCACATTTGTTATCTCAGGCATATTGTTCCTTCCCTTTTTTTGGAAGTGCTGGGGATGGAACCCAAGACTTCACCTATACCAGGAAGGCACTCTACCACTGAGCTACATCACCAGCCCCATATTATTTCTGTGAACCTAAAATATCATTCTGGGGGTGGGGGCGGTAGTGATCCTGCCTTACAAATGAAGAAGACTGGAACTTTGAGTGTTTCATCAAAATAGCTTGTGTAAATTTAATTTTCATGCATGGTCTCTTTGGACCCAGGTTCATTTTTAAGTGCTATGGATACTAAGTGCTATGGATACCTTTTGAAAGTCATTTTTACTGTCCCTGGTGGATACTGTCTCCTTATGCCCTCTCAGAAACATTAACAACCTATTTCTTCTAATTTTCTAATTTAGTTTCTATATTTATTGTCATTTGATGGCTTTACTTGTGAGATGTTGTTATCAAATTCTCAAATAGTGTGATTCCACATGTGCCAGCTAATGGTGGGTCGGTTCTCAAGGAGAGATTTAGAGAAACACTTCCATTAGAAAGGCTTTTAAAGGGGCCGGGGAGATGGCTCAGTAGAATAAGTGATTGCCTAGCAAGCATAAGGGCATGAGTTCAATCCCTGGCTCTACCAAAAAAAAAAAAAAAGATAAAAGAAAAGCTTTTAAATGAGATATGAATATTTGTTTCCTTGCCTAGTGTTAGGAACTTTTCATTGTGTGACACTTCCTTTTTTGCCTTTTATGTATGAAAATATAGCGTGATTAAGGAACATGGCAGTGTTTCCAGGAACCTTGCTTAAAATTCCATGTAACTGTTGAGGGAGATTTTAAATCTGGAGCAGTGTTCTCAGAATTCCACAGGAATCACATAGGTTCCTTTTTAAGTACATAAGAACCACTTGTGGTGCTTGTTATAGATTCCTCATGTCCTGACCACTAAGTCTCTAATTGAGTAAATCTGCTCTAATCTGCATATGTGAGTTATTCCAGGTGGTGACACTGGAGACTTTAGATGTTGGGCTTCTGAATCCTTAATATGTAGGCATCATACTGGGATGGCAGGAAGATGTGGTTCAAGGTCAGAAGGTCAAGGGCACAGCCTGAGCCTCTGCATTTCTAACAAGTTCATGGCTAAAGCCTCCAAGCTCATTTTACATCTCTCCCTTTCCTTCTGTACCACCATTTTGCCGACATTTTGTGATTAATTATATGCATCCAGGTTGAGATCTGACCTTTCAATCTTCAGTTTGATAGACTCATTGCTTACCTTGCTAATCTTTTTCTTTTTATTTCCTGCAACACATGTAGATGGGCAGCGGACGCATCTTGAAGTGCCGTCAGCTGTAACCAAGATTCCTGACTTCAAAACGGCAGCCCAACGTCCTGGATCGCCAGAACCCAAGACCATGGAGCTCTCTGACAGTGACCGACCTGTCAGCTTTGGCTCCACCTCATCTTCTGCCTCTTCCCGGGACAGCCACGGTTCCTTTGGGAGCAGGATGACCTTGGTTTCCAACAGCCACCTGGGCCTGTTTCACCAGGACAAGGAAGCAGGGGCCATAAAACTGGAGCTGGTTCCAGCCCGGCCGTTTTCCAGCAGCAAGCTGCAGAGAGACAGCCCTGTGGGGCCGCAGAACATGGACCACAGCAGCGAGGGGCAGCCCAGGGCTCCGTGGGGCACAGAAGCCAATGGGGTGCCCAACGTAACTGCAGACTCAGCTACCAGTCCCAAGCTCCTCTATGTGGATAGAGTTGTGCAGGAAATTCTGGAGACTGAAAGGACTTATGTGCAGGATTTAAAAAGCATCGTGGAGGTAAGGCCAATTTCACTTCTCCAAGTTTGATAGGAAGGAGAAAAAGGCTTGTAAAACCTGGAGCAACGCCAAGGTCTTTGTGGTTGTGGATGCGTGTGTGTTGCTTCCTAAACAGCCGAGGTGTGAATGTAGAAACAGATCACAAGAGAGACCATAGGCCTGTACTCACTGGGTTCACATCCATACAATATATGCACTCATAAGTTGATCATGTGTCACAAATAAGAATGATGATATTTCACATGTACAGTATCTTGTATTAATAAACCCTACAACAGAGATCTCAGTGACCTACAGGTGCTGGAGCAGGCAAGGATGGCATAGGGCTTCCGGCCTCGTGGGGACTGGGGAAGTGGCAGGTGTAATTGATCGAACCCACTAGCTGTTCTTACCTTAAGCCCCATTTACCTCTGGGAGTTGCCAAAACTGCTGACAGCTGGGTCAGTGGGCTGCGCTATGGCCTGAGCAGTAGGCTCATCGGGGACTTCCAGGTGATTCTCATGCACATCAGAGCCCAGAGCCCATCTCTTGTGACAGTCCCTGTACTGGTTGGCCTGTGGGGGAAGGAAGTGATGGGTGGAAGAGACCCCTCCAGTTCTGTCTTGTCTTGGATATTTTCTTTCTTTCACTTTTAAAGCAAATGCTTTTACATAAAAGTTTTCTGTGATTATTATAATTATGCATTCCTTGCATAAATTATTCCATGTGACTTTAGCTCATCTCATGTACTAGAGGTCACATGCTCTGGAAATTCTGTTATTAATTTGACTTTGATTCATAGGCAGGTTTTTGAGGATAAAGAATGACCAATGGAACTCAGATATTAACTCTTTGAGGATTTAGTTATAAAATTACTATTTCAAGGGCAAATTTGTATATGACAAAGCTATACTCATTTTACTATCTAGTAGGATATCATTTGTTGACATCTATTGCGTATTTTAGGCTTTTTATTCTAAAATGTGTTTCAGAATACTTACTGATAAGCCAAATACATACACTGTGAGAGATTTAGGGGAAAAAATCCTAATGATCGTGCGTGGAGTTCCACAAATGACAGAACCAGACACTGTCTCCTAAAAATAGTGATGACATAATTTCCCAATAAAAATAGAAAAGTCAACCAAAACAATATGTGGCACCAAATGTAGACTAGAGCAGGCCAATTTTTTTAAATGTTCAACAATGATGTCATCTGTCCTTAAAAAGAAATACCTGTGAAACAGCCAAGCATTTTATAACCTCTCAAGAAACTTATGGTTAGTAAAGCTGGCTTTAGTTTATGTTCCCCTCCCCTCTTACTTTCTTAGTACTTCTTCCATCAAATCAAAACCCACCTTACTAAGAGAGAGACCTTTAGTTACCCAAATGTCATAACATGAAGACTCTTTTCTTCTGCAGCTGGTTAGTAGATCTTGAATAAGAAGAAATAAAATAAGATACAATTGAAGGGGTCAGGGAAATAGCTCAGTAGAATAAGTGCTTCCTGCGCAAGGGCCTGAGTTCAATCCCCAGTTCCACCAAAACAAAAAGATACAATTGAAAGAAAACCAATAAAGATAATTGTTTTCCTGAAAAGGTTTCAGAATAAGTTTTACTTGAAATCGTCTAACTATATTTTTCTATGTCTCTGAGTTAACCTTGCTTCGCACAAGGAGTTGGTGAGGTTTCCGCTTGAGGGCAGGCAGTAGAGCTTAGACCTGCTGGGCCCCACGGTCCTGGTCCCTAATGCTCAAGTATGCAGTGGCCGCACACGAGCAGCTATGGTCACCACAGGGGAATGCATGGGCCTTCGAGTCCCAGCAGTTCTTTTGGGGTCCCATGTCACCCAGTGGCGTAGTTTGATGACCTCTCTTTCAGACTACAAACTTGTGAAATGTTTTATCACCTGTAGTGTAGGACTAGCAAATAGTACCTGCATAGAGTTCTTAGAATTGGGTTCATGTGAAATTTCATATGATGTCCTAGCACATGGCAGGTGGGTGATAAATAGGACATGAAATCACCACCAACCCCTTCTGGATCTGCTGGTTGAGGGTGATCTCTACTGTCTCCTATAGCCTTTCCCAAAACAGTCAGATTAGCCAACTCACTAACAACAGAATTTTAATTAGCAGAAGGTTTTAATGAGTAATTCTGACATGATTTTGAATGAAATTGGATTGTTTTTAATACACTCACTGAAAATCTGGGTTGGAACATAAATAGGGAGGCAGAGATGGAGGATGGTGTGAGGAGACAGCTCCTGGGAAAGAGACTGGAATGTGAGGGGACGCCCATGATGAGGACACGGCTGCTGCTGTGGCCCAGTTCACTGGGCTGCCCCAGTCTCTCACCACCTCCACCTAGAGAACCTCAGAATCCAACTAGGTAGTACTGTGTCTATCATGCTAGAAGAAAAGATGCTGAATATTTGCATCATAAAAAAATTAATAAATGAGGAGATAGGGCTTTTTCCTTTAGGAAGATTCACCAGTTCTTTTCCCACCTGGTGCGAAGTCTACCCAACAAAGATTGCTTTATATGGGCATGTTTAATCTGTTCCTTTAAAGTCTTCTTTTCCTCTATCAATTACTAACTCGTTTTTATAATTTGGGAGCTGACTTCTCTAAAATCCTCTATTTTTTTAATGAATTTTTTTCTTTTTCTTTCTTTTCTGCAGTACTAAGGATCAAACATTAGTGGCTATCTAATGCTGAGCTACATCCCCAGACCCTCACAGTCCCCACCCCCCTTTTTTTGAGACAGTCTCTAAAAGTTACCCAGTCTGAACTCAAACCTGCAATCCTCCTGCCTTGGCCTACTGTAGAGCTAAGATTACAGGCACATGGCATTGTACCTGGCTCAAATAAAGGATTTAAAATTGGAAAGGGGCTTCTTGTGAACAATCTGCTCTCATCATTTCTCATCATACCTAAAGACAGATTTTCCTTAGTTGGCTTATTCTAAGTGAAACTTATTTCTATTCATGTTGGGAAACAATTGAAAGTCTTATTTGTTTTATGTGGAAGCAGTTTCTGACTCTACATTCTGCTTTCTTGATTCTCATTTGATTAGTGGTGATCAGTAGTCATTCCCAGGTGGGCAAGATAGCTCAGCAGACTAAGCACCTGCTTAGGCAAGCACAGGGACCAGGTTCGATCCCCAGCACCACATGCCAGCCCTGCCCCTGGGCACACTGAGCCAGCCACCGAGACCAGGCATGGTGATGCACGCCTATAATCCCAGTGCTGGGGAGGCTGAAAACAGGATCACTATGAGTCCAAGCTGTGTAGTAAGACCCTATACCAAATACATAAGTTTTTAAAAAATCATTCACAATTTAATTATTTTCCCCCAGAAGTGGTACCTTTTATTTAAATGCCATATAGATACAAAATCTTCACAGATCAGGTTTAGGATTCATTTCTAGGGATTTTAAGCAGTGCCACTCTTGTGAAAGGACACTGATTTAGATGACACGAACATGAACAATGATTAGACACGGCCGCAAATATCAGAGTAGCTTTTTTTCTGAGAAGAGATCTTCTCACTTTAGCTGTACAGTAGGATTCCCAAGTGTTGTTATGCAAAGGAAGTTGCATGACTTCTGCCCCATATGGAGAGACATACCTGTATTAAAGGAATCCAAAATATACACATCTTTCATTCCCTTGCCACTCAGGGACTCAAAGTGAATGCTTGCTGGAAATTTAACCAACAAATGCCGCTGTTCTTATTTCCACGGCCCTTCATTCCTTGCATTCCTCCCAGGCTCTTATCTCTGGATCCTCATCCCACCTGCCCTGGCTAATCTGTTCCCCTCTCCGCTCCCTGGGCCAATATCCTCAGTATTGATTTTGTGCACTTGACATTTGAGAAAAAGAACAAGAAGTAAGATCTTGACTGTCACCCGTGCCCGAAGGAACAATGAAGCCGTTATTCCCATCTCTACATGTGGCTCTTAGGAACGGTCACAGATAAAATGAGGCGATAAAGGTGAAAGCAAGTTAAAAGCAAAATGTCCAAAGCTACAGTTCGTGGCAAGATGGAACTCTATCGTTGGAAAGTAGAAAATAAGGGTCTCTTTCATGTTTAATGGGACCTGCGATTGACTGAGCAAGGACTTCCCTGGCAGAGTGGGTTTCTTTAATCTTTCTAAATGATCTGTAAAAGAGCCTTTGAGAGCCTCCTAAGATTGGGCCTCAGATAGAGTTCATGGCCCGTTTCACCCTTTCAGTACAGTTTTTAAATAGTTCCTAATGTTACATAATGCTATATAATTGGAAGTTATAGTCCCACTATAAAATGGCATCTTTGAACTCTGAAACACTAAATAAAATAGCCTTTTGGGATAGTGAAGGTAAGTGTATTTAGTGGAAAAAGTGAGTAAAATAAAAAGTATAAAATGTTATTTTCTTTCTATCCTGTGTCAGAGACCTAAAATCCTTTGCAAACACCTTTATCCAGAAAGGGTTGTGAAAGCTAAGAAGTATTACAGCCTGGATGTCCAAAATATAAATAGCCAAAGCTTCAGCCTGTCGGGACTGCAAGCTTTCAGCATTATTCAAAAGCAGTTGCTGAGTGAGACTTGAACGGGGACCTCCACCTGCCAGCCTTCGTGGTGTGAGATTGTGGGGATTCTTTTTTGGGTGATTGTGTGAAAGGTGTCAGGGCAGGTGGAAGAGAGAACAGTCCTTTCTGCCATGTGGAGACTCGGAACACATGAAAGGCTCTTCACTTGTTTAGACGAGGTTGTTCTGGGTACCAGTGGCTCCAGTTAGTTGGAAGGACACCTAGCTTGGCAGGACTTCTCCAGAACTTGCGCCCAGTGGAGGAAGGAAGCCCACCCCCGGCCTGAGCAGTTGTGCAGCAGCTTCACAGCGAGCCCTGTCTGAGGCTCAGCACAGGGCCTGGTGTGGCGTCTGAAGCCAGGACACAACAGATCTGAGACAGCCTTTGTCCTGGGGCCCGTCCCTCCATGTTCTCTTCCCAGGGGTCCTGTGGGAGACAGAACTGTT